CCCCAAAACCCCAAAACCCCAAAACCCCTTTTTAACCTAAGAAAATTGATGTTATATATTTTTATGTGAACCTATGCAGAGGGATTACCTTTGATAATCTTCTTTCTTCCTTTTTAGATAAAGTGCCCATTATCTTATAATTCTTTTTGTCCTCATACCATTTCCTTTTAAGTAGAATCTTAAGATTATAAGCTCCAATACTATTGGAGAGTTCAGAAGTTAAACATGAAGTTAACTTATCAACTCTAAATGATAACCTCAATAAAAATACCCAGAGCTACGAAGCATGCTGTCTTCTTTCCTCTTTTTCTCCTTGAGCCTTATCTTTGCTGCGTTCATGCCATATTCAGGAGTCATTTTGAGCTCTCTCATTTTCTTCTCTGTCTCTTCCCTTCTTTTACGCCTGTTGACAGTGAGTTTCCTCAAAAAGCTTCATTTACTATACCATAATTACACTTGAGATTACTCATCTTGGTCTCCTTCCCCTTCAGAGTCAGAGGAAACGTCTATCATTTCATACCACTTGAAAGGAGTGTTCTTGAGCGGATCTCTCCAAGGATGTTTTGGGTCAGGCAATAGCTTATTCACCCTAGATCTCAGCCTCTTAAGGTCAGGCAACTTTAGCTCTGTGTTTACCTTACTCACTCTGTTAGTACTATTAATTAGTATACAATATTACCCTTGACGATACTCCATTTCACAATAATCTAATGAATCTTGAGTTGATTTCCTCTCTCTCAGCTTATGGATTGAGGCTAACTATATTGAGGCCTATTTTACTCTCTCCTTGTAGGAATGATAGCATCTAGACAGACAAACTTACGCTCCGATTCACTGTTGAGAATGAACGAATACTCCGACTTTTACTTTTGACATCAGGATTTAGACTTTTTCCTATAAATTTATCAGTAAAATTTTAATAATTTTTGAGAGAGTAGTCATACAATTTTGGTAAACCCATTTAGCCAGCGTCTGAAGAGCTATGTGAAGATTTCCTTGTTTTTCTAAGTCTTCAACTTTAAGATAACCCTCAATAGCTTTGGTAAGGCTCATTGGATATCCTATTTTCTCCAAAATTTCCTTGAACAGCTTTTTATCCATCCCAAACAATCCAATTTCTCTCTGATTTAAATGCCTTTATTGTGAAACTTTCAAATACCTTTCAAAGTCATCGTGAATTTTCTGAATTTTCACATTTTTGTTCAATACTATAGTTAAAATCAACCTTTAGCCTGAAGACTAGAGCAGTATTAAAGCTCAAAACAATAAATCTCCCTTAAATGATCAATTCCTTCACTTATAGTGCAAAAGGCAGCGAATTTACTTACACTTCTCCTTTTTCACTCTTGGGAGCCTAATTTTTGGGTTTCAAGGTGACTTCTTGTCAAAATACTTCTCCCTAACTCCCTTCGACATGATTCTAAAATTTTATTCCAATCAATATTAATATTTATCACAGGGGTTTTGGGGTTTTGGGGTTTTGGGG